TTCTTTCTGCAGAGCAGCTGGTGGATTTGAACCTCCAGCCTTCTGGTTAGCAGTCAGATGCCTTAGGCACTATACCACCAGAGCTCCTTATATACTATAAATGAGGGTACAAAAGTGGGGGGGGGGGGAAAGCAAAGCACTGCCATCGAGTTGATTCTGATGCATAGCGACCCTATAGGACAGAGTAGGGTTTCTAAGGCTGTAAATCTTTACAGAAGCAGACTGTCTCATTTTTTTGTCTCTCTGCCATTTTCATTTGAGTGACCACTGCTACTGCTATGTCCTACTGTAACATTCCATACATAGTTAAAATGAAGCAAAGGGTGGAGTTCCATCTTTTAAAACTAAATAGGCATTTTGGACAACACATTCTTGGCAAAGGAACCTGGACAACATTTATCAGATGGTACGAAAAGTTCTTACTCCACATATAAAAAAGGACAGCAAGATATCAACTGTTACAGAAATGAAATAAGATGGAAAATTTTAACAAACTGTTTATTTTCTTAAAGAGACTTCTTTCACTGTCAGAGACCTTGAGTAGCCTCCTAGTCAGTCATCTAGAAGCAATTCTTCACATAACTGATGAATTGGTTTCCACTTTAAGAACAGAATCACTTTTTTCTATACTTGCTTGCATTTTTGCTTTAATGACTTCTACAAACTAGGTCATTTTGGTGTTTTAGGAGTTTTTTTTTCCTGTTTTTTTTTTTAAGGATTCTTGACCTTTTGATTTTGGTGTTGATGGCTTTGATTTCTGTATATTTGTGGCTGGAGTATACCATATAGATTTCTTCACTGGAGCTTTTTCTTCAGTTCTTTCATCATCACAATCACCATCATCAACATCATCATCATCAGCAGCAGCAGCAAATTTCACTTTTTTTGTGTGGAACTTTGTTACCACTTGCAAGAGCAGATCGCTTTCCCGATATACTTAAGCATTCCACGTCCTCCTCCTCATCGTCATCTGATAAGTGCTGCCCCCTAATATGCACAGGCCCTGAGCCACACTTCAACCATGAGACCACAGGTGGTATTATTTCAAAGGCCTCAAGGGAGATCATTGGGTGTACAGACATTTTCAAAGCTGCCAGTCTGTTATTTTAATTGGGGTACCTTCATAATGCATTGCCTCTGCTTCATCAATGTGCAATTCATCCTTTGCACCAGCCCCTAAAGATAACTGGTACTCATTTTCATCATTGTCCACTTATAGTGATAATCTTTGTCAACCCTTAATTCACAACTGAAAAGACAGTTTGGGGACCTCAGATGACTCATATACATGCCCACTAAATCTGTCATGGAATGGTGGCACATATTTAAATGGGAGAGAAGGACAGAGTTAAACCACTATTGTTTCTGAGAATAGCTATGCGGGATGGAATCATACTAGGTGATGTCATCTTTCTTTACAAGGAATAACAATATTAAAGATGTAAAATTCACTGTCTCAGATTTACCAGCATTCTTTTATAACCAATGTTTCTAACAGACTTAGATTATAACTATATGTGTAATTAACTTTGTCTATGACTGTGATAATGGAAACCACTGAACACATACCTGCTAAAGATATTTGAACTGAATATATAGAGAGAATAGTTTAGTTCCAAAGTGTACTTTGAAATTCTTACCAACAGTTTCTGGTCTAAGAGATGCAATAGATACCTCTGCTCCAATTAGTCCAAAAAGAAGGGGCTGAAAAATGTCCCAGGCAACTTTAATTATTTTTTCAACCTCTGCCTAAAAGAAAAACAATACACACACAGGATTTTTACTATGTGAAGTCATAAATAACAACTTGACTAATTTGAAATTTGAGGCTATTTGACTGAAAGTAGGCTTTATTTATATTTTTGTGTCATCTAGGTTAACTGCAATGAACAAAACAATTGTCTAGGACATCGCTTACACAGTTTAGATATTATATAAAGTGCTTTCGCATACTAAGTGTGGTTTGCAAAGGGATGTTAATTATAACAATTTTTATAAAGTAAGACTTCTGCATACATAATTATAATTTACTATGTGAATTTGAAAACTGATCAAACTGACCATGTGTTTACTTTTAATTTATTCAAAAATTTTATTTTATAACAATCCTCTGAATTAGTACTAGTAAGTTAGATGCCAACTATTATTTTGAAATCACATAATGAAGCAGGAAGAGCCCAAATGTGGGGGTCAGAAGACTAGGTTATAGTTCTGGGTCGCTACTAGCAGAGTCCAAGAACTCCAGACTTGCATGTGCTTACTGTGGGATCACACTCTGCACACAGCATGTCCTGAGACACTTGCCCCACACTGAAGAGCTCGAAGTGTCAGGAAGCTATTACTTATACTGAGGCATTAGAGCTTGCACACAGAAAAAAACACAGGATCATCAATTTCCACCTGACAGTCCATAATTTGTGAATGCAGGTATCATATTTACCCTAAGACTCCTGTTTCCTTGACTAAATGTTTTTAAAATTTTATTACTTTTAATTCACTAAATTAGATCTTTCACTATCCTTTGTATAAGTCTCAGTTTGTCAGTGTATCTAATTACCTATCTAACTTTCTATCACCGAGCTATATCAATACCTTAATCAAAATCAAGTATAAATGAGTAGCCAGTAGAAAGTTCCACATTGTCTCCCAAGATACTCAGGTGACATCCCAACAGGCCACTATACTTATTAGAAGATTTTATACACATAAAAGCAATCATAAGAGCATAAAACAACTTTATTTACTCACTTATCTATAAAATAGTAGCATACTATGTAATCATTGAGTTTATTAAAAAAAACATGTGGGCAATCTTTTCCTCTGTCTACTTAAAGGCCTTCCTCATTCATTTTTACAGCTTTGTCATATTCCAATTAGAGTCAGCATAAATTATTTATTAGAAACTCTCTGATGAGATTTAAAAGCACCACGGTGATACAATGGTTAAAGCACTCAGCTGCTAACTAAAAGGTCAGTGGTTTGAACCCACCAGCCACTCTGTTGGATGAGGCAGTCTGCTTCCATAAAGATTTATAGCCTTGGAAACCCTGTGGGGGCAGTTCTACTCTCTCCTAAATGCTCCTATGAGTTGGAATCAACTTGATGGCAGTGGTTTTGGGTTGGCTGATAAGATTTACAATTTTCAACTTTTGCCAGTATAAAAAATAATACAAAAATAGATCATTTTGTATTTTATATGTGTCCAAGTATGTTGTTGCTGTTGTTCTGTGCCGTCGAGTCAGACCCGACTCATAGCGACCCCTCCTTGGGTTTCCGAGGCAGTATCACTACGGAAGTAGGATTGCCCAACCTTCCTT